ACCACACCTCAGTGCATATCATGCCTAAATCAGCTATGGGGCAGTCACACAGGGAGTCCTACACAGCAGTGGAAGTGAATGAAACGTGGGGGCACACATCAACACAGGTGAATCACAACTCTAATTGAGTAAAACAGCAAGTCACAGAAAAAAAAATATGGTATAAAATTCCAGTTAAATAAAATACGAAAGAAACAAACACTAAAAACTACACTATGTGTGTACATGATTATGTATCTACATCTATATCTACCTACCTGTCATCCATCATTTATGCACCATCTACTTATGTATCTATTTACCCATCACCAGTCATCTATCTATCCACCTATCTCCCATCTATATATCATCTGTCTATCTATCTATCTATCTATCTATCTATCTATCTATCTATCTATCTAATCTATCATCTATCCACCTATCTCCCATCTATATATCATCTATCTATCTATCTATCTATCTATCTATCTATCTATCTAATCATCTACCTACCTATCTCCCATCTATATATCATCTATCTATCTATCTATCCACCTATCTCCCATCTATATATCATCTATCTATCTATCATCTATCTATTATCTATCTATCTATCCATCTATCTATCATCTATCTATCCACCTATCTCCCATCTATATATCATCTATCTATTTATCTATCTATCATCTATCAATCTATCATATATCTATCTAACATATGTCAACCATATACCAATCCATCTTCTATGTATGTGTGTATGTATATATGTATGTAAGTATGTATCTAACATGTATCAACCATCTACCAATCCATCTATGTATGTATGTATATATGTATGTATCTATCTACCTGTCAATCATCTATGTATCTGTGTATCCAATTTGTCTATCTATCAATCATGTATCAGCCATCTACCAATCCATCATCTATGTATGTACGTATGTATGTATGTATGTATGTATCTATCTATCTATCTATCTAATCTATCCTTTAGCTAGTTGGCCATTCAGGATAGCAGTTAACTGGGCACAACAGAGCTTCTATCTATGTTAGTGGGGATATTGTATTTCTTGAGTTGTTTGGAAGATAGATGGGCATTTGTTTCACTATTATTTGAATGAAACATGGATATTCTATTTACTGTTTTGTGTGAAAAATATATTTCACAAATTTTCTCTGCAGGTAAGTTTTTTTTTCCACTTCCTTACACCACCATTTATTTTATACAAAGATGTTTTAATTAAATATTTACATATCCATAGACATAAAGAGACTGAATGTTAAAAAAAAAAAAAAAAGATTAGTTTGGTCTCCAAGCCAGGGGAGCCGTAAACATTTATAAAGTAACTATGACTGTTTTAGCTAAGTAATAATGAATAGTTTTATCTATAAGGCAAGCTTTCCTTTCTGAATGATAAGTTGTTTTCACTCAACGTCTTTCAAGTTCCTGTTCTTACATGGCTGTTGTAGGTGATTGCCCAGGAAGTCGCTTTGCTGTGGCGATGACGGTTCGGGACATTTATCTGAGAATGTTCTCAGGACCAACACGTGTGGGGAGGGAAAGCGGCAGATGGGCAGAGGGACAGGTTGGGCTTCCACGTGGCCAAAACAAAAGCCTCAGGGACCCCACAGGAAGATCTCCGGAGTGGGGCAGCTCTTTAAAGTTGTCCGGAATCGGGGTGAGGGGGCAGGGCCCTCTTATCACAAGGACATCACTGAACTGAGGCTACTCCAGGGACCATGGTCAGGGCGGGTTGCTTCAGCAGAGGGCGATGTCTAGAGAGAGGGGGGTAGGGGATGGTGCTGGCAGCACTCACAGCAGTGGGGCATGAGCCCCTCTGTCCTTCGGATCTCAGGGAGGCCGGGCTGCATGTCCCAGCTCCACATCCCCACGGTAAGAACACGTGTTAGGCACCATGGAGTGTCAAGATGCATAAGGTCTGGTCCTGACCCCGAGAAGCTCACGCTCTCGTGCCATGTGGCTGAGGGTGGGCAGAAACTATGCAAGGGCAGGATCCAGATGGAAGCTCCAGAACTGCAGCGAAGGCTTGGGAGGAGCTGGGAGCAGCTCTCCCTGACCACAAGGAGGAGAATGAAGGCAGGCTGTAGGAACACGTCTCAGAGGGCATCTGCGCCGTTACAGGATTTGCTCCCAAAACTCTGGCAGGCGGGGAGGAGGAGGACGGGTGTTTTCAGGTATAGGACTGGCGAGGGAGAAAGAACTGAGGCCAGGGAGGAAGAGTCCCAGGATACACCGATCTCACTGCTGTGCTGTCTGCGACCCCCAGCCCTGCCTCCTTCCCTCTCCATCCTCAACTGCTTCCTGCCAGCTTCGGGGTGTGGGAAGCCAAGAACAGCGCAGAGGGCTGAGTGGGCAGCAGAGCTGGGTATACAGGCTCGTGCAGGTGGGAAATTAAATGAGGCCGGCAGTCCTCCAGCCGACACTGGATAGACACAATGTGATAGGTCACAGCTGATGGAATATGATTCAGGCATGAATAATCATACGTGATCATGTAGCTGACACATGCTGTGACATGGTGGACCTGGAAGACATTACGGGAAAGGAACCAGCCACAAAAGACTACACGTGGTACGACTGCATTTATATGAAATGTGCCGAAAAGGCAAATCCTTACAGGCAGAAAGTAGGTTAGTGGTTGCCAGGGGCTGGGGGTCTGGGGGAAGTGGGGAGGGACTGCTTATAGGGATGGGGTTTCTTTTGGGGGTGGTTTAAATGTTCTCAAACTGATTGTGGGAAGGTTGCACAACTCTGGGAATGTACTAAAAACCACTGAAGTCTACACTTTAAAGGGGTGAACTCTGTGGTATGTGAACTATATCTCAGTAAAGTTGTTACTGAAAAGAAAGTGAAGCCGTGGGCACAAGGACAAGGCCCACATGGAGATGTAGACAACAACTGGCTGGATAAACTTTTCCTGTTTTTCTTTTTCTTTGATCTGGTTCTCCTGGCCTATTGATCTCTCCTTTACAGAGGCAGTGCTGGGAGCCTGGCGGTGGGTGGGCATTCCCTTCTGTGCCTATTCATCATATATTTTCCATCAGACACCCCTCAAATTACCTCAGAGAAACGGAGGCTCAACACCAATCTAGGTATAGTAACAGAGGTATCAGAACCTCCTTGAAAATGAAACTCTAACTTTGAGACACTCCCTAGCCCCCCATTCTGAGCAGGTGCACCCAATCCATTTCATCTTGTGTGCTGTGCTTTTTCATGCGGCCTGCTGGAACCTTGCACTCCCTCCTGACACCCCTCACTCTTGGTCTGCGGCACTAACCCCCCTGACACTCTGGGCCATTGCTGTCTGCCTCCCTCTGTCAGAACACCAGGCGCAAGCTGAGAGCAGGTGGCACTGCTTGGCACAAGGCAGGGGCTCAGCAAATTCTTGCTGAGGGGATGAATAAATTCCACAACTCGGTGTCCCTGAACACCGTATTTCCCATGTGCCTTGATGGATGCTGCAGACAAACCAAGGTAACAGGGCTGTGGCCTGGAGGCCACTCATGTCTGCACAGAAGAAAGAGGAGCAGTATCCTAAACCCATGCCGGCACTGCCTGTTAGGTGTTGTCTGTGCACAGTAATTTATTATGCGTATCATTAATTTTTTAAAAAAGCTACTCTACCTCCTGGAATATGCAATAGGATCCTTGTAAGTTGTATAATGCTGGTCTGGGGATCTCTTTTTCATTTAGCCTACATTTATTGAGCACTTCCTATGCCCCAGATGTTCATGATCTCATTTAATCTTCACAACATAATGTGATAAATACACTAATATTAACCCCATTTTTGAGATGAGAAAACTGAGACTGCAGGTTAGGAGAATTTTCTGGATTCCACAGTCAGTAAGGATCGGGGACAAGGTAATCCCAGGTCTCTCTGTAGTTTGGAAGGAGGAGATCACACTTCTCCTTGTGCAGCTCGCCATCTCCATGTGCCTTTGACTTCCAGGCATCTCAGCATTAAGCCAGGAGCCCTCCGTGTTCCCAGGGATCCCATTACACAGCAGCTCCAGTGTGTCTGCCCAGGGGTCAGTGTCCTCACCTGTAGCCTGTGTCTAGGGCGTTGTGAAGTTTCCTCCTATCTTCTCACCTTCTCTTTCTCTCCTACCTGCAGCAGGAGCTTCACAGGTCCTCAGGGTTCAATGGCTGTGGATCCTGCTCCAAGCCGGACCACACCTGTGGCCTTGCCAGAGGAGAGAACCCAGCTGCTCCTCCTCTCCCAACAACAGCTGGCAGCTCCCCCCTCTCCAACCCTACCACACAACCACCTTCTGTTGGTCCCGTCCTGTGCCAGACACTCATCTTTCCCTTCCAGGTCATCACCAGCCACCTCTCCCGAGTTTAGTTCATGAGTTTGCGTGGCCTGGAGTTTCTCTCTGAAGCTTTTGCTGTACATACATACTGAGGCAGACAGGAGAAAAATTCTGAACCACGTATCAATACACGAGTATTACAACAGCAGTTTAACTGCCAAGATGTTTTTGGCACTGATGAATTAAGTTTCACACTCGCTTCCTCAGGACGCCATAGCAAAGCCCGGCAGACTGGTGAGCCTTAACTAACAAGAATTTATTGTCTCACAGTTCTGGAGTCTGGAAGCCCAAAACCAGGGTATCAGAGTTGGTTCCTTCTGAGGTCTATAAGGGAAGCTCTGTTCCAGATAGATGGTTGTCTTCTCTCTGTGTCTCTTCACACCAGCTTCTCTCTATGCACATCTGTCTCTGCTCAAATTTAGCCTTCTAATAAGGACATCGATTATATTGGATTAGGGCCCACTTGAATGACATGATTTTAACCCGATTACTTCTTTAAGATCCTATTCCTCCAAATAAGTTCGCATACTGAGGGACTTCAACGTACCTTTTCGGGAGAACACAATTCAGTCCATAAAAGGTATCAATAACAAGCTCCTTTCAATTTGGCTGCATCCTGCTTCATTTAGAATTGGTTTGGAGAACATCAAATAGATGCATTCACAAAACCGTCACACACAGACCTACACAGAATGTCCAGTCCTGCCACACCTCTCGCGGGCTTGTCCTTGTGTCTGCCAGTTCAGAATCTGACCACATGAATCAGAGCCACTGGCTCACTAAAGGCCACCTACAAAGGAGACAGATGTCAAGTTAGAATCGCCCGATCTATAAATTGGAAAGGAGAGTTTTGTTTCGTATAGGGGGTTACAGCCTGCAGACTGGCCATCCTGTGGGCTGGGAAGTGTAGCCTCCAGCAGAGACTGAAGGCACGGACTTCTTCTGGGGAAAGGTGAGGCAGAAATGGATGCTGAGCAGGTTGGCTAAGTAAACGTATTCAGCAGGTTATAGGAGGGAGCTGTGGACAGTCATGGAGGTGGGCACACTCATGCATAGTAAGCTAATGTGTGTGTCACATGGACATGCTTGCTCTGGGGCAGAGATCTAACATTTAAATGCATTGCAATTAGGACCTACACATCAAAAGGTGAAGCAAGGGCCTGAAGGCACATGAAGGAGAAAGTGACTGAAATCAGCCTCTTGTCAAGTCAAAGCTTTAGTTCTGGCTGGTGGAATAGGGTGTCAACTAGTCAGCTTGCTGCAATTGTTTCGATATTGCTTATTTCATGACCCGTGCTGTTCAGCTGCTAGAGAGAAAGAAGAACCCTGTGGCTGTTAGAACAGAGCTTATTGTTTAAGTGTAGGAGGGTGTGCATGGCCTTGGATCTGTTTTATCATTTGGCATCTTATTGCCACAGAGAGTCCACTCCATCAGTCTTAGGATACTCTGTTTTCACACAGGTTACATATGGATGGGTAAACCATCGTACCTTTGGCTCTTTTTGGAACAAAAATGGGCTATGCCATGTAGATGCCAACGATTGTCTCTACGTCCAGGCAGCAGATGCTTGTAAAAACAATGTCAGCCTCCACGAACATCAGGGCTGAGTGGGAGTCATGCAGTTCAAAAGATCTGAAAAATGCATGATGGAAGAGTCGCGATTTTTCCACTGTGAGGCTTTCTCCGTTTCTTAGTTTATAAATTTCTTCAAGGGGAAACCTGAGAGGAGCTTTTGATGTGCCCGTTCATGAAGCCCTAACCCTAAGCTGGCCACAGAGAAACATGAACGCTTAGGATCCGGGCATGGCCTGTGCCTGCACTTCCCATTCCTGGTACCCAGCTGAGTTGGAAACGTTTGTCAGCAAGGCTTTTTGAAGTCTGTTCCTGGTAAAGCCGAAATGCATGTCTTTTGTGCTGCGCTTTCTGGGCTGTTTTACATTGTCTTCTGGGAAACTGTCCACTGACAAGGAGATCGCTTTGGAGAAATGATCAAAGGAACCATCTCTGACGGTACCGTCTTCATTTCTGAGCAGCAGTAATAGGCGTTCCAGCCCGCACTATTGTAGGCAGCTACAAATAATACTGTGTTCCTTTGATCACCGGCTCTTCATTCTGAACTTATTTACTTTTCAGAAACAAACACTTGACAATGATGGTAGGGATTCTAAGCCGCTCATGTGGGTAGAAAATCGGTATTTTAAAGTGGTAGTTTAGACTGAATGGGTCTGTATGTTTGCCCCTGAGCTGAACTCCTCCGTTTTTTAAAAACCATGTCAATGTCTGCAGAGCTGTACCCACAAAAACACTGAAGTCTAGAGGGAAGAAACCGGAAGCCAAACTCCCCTGGCAGGGTTTTCACAGGCCCAGTGACTCCCAGGGACCATCATCATTGCTAACCTGCCAGTTTCCTGCACGAGATACAAACTGGCCTCCGAACTCTGACCTTTTGCTGCTTTTACAAATTCTGATGGTGCAGTTGGGACTGAGGACATTCAAAAGGTGAATGTATATGCCTTCAGAGCAGGGAGCAGGGGCCTGTTCTAATACGGTAAGCTTGTAAAACACTGTTAAAATAGGCACAAAAGTTTCACACATAAGATATATGAGGATATATAATTATATGGTCTCATGATAGGTCCTATAATCTTCTGTGATACTGTATTTCTACTTTACAATATTTTTTCATCAATCACTGCTCCAAATAAGTCTTTACAAAACGTGGCAAACTTTGTCTCCATCTTACGTTAGAGGTGGGGAATATATGAAATTCATCGTTTGCCTGCCCTCTGAGTACCCAGGGAATCTTGTTCCCTTCCTTCTAGAAAACAAACAAACAAAAAACCACAAAAAACCTGCTAAAAGAGCTGTATGGTGTTTTAACTTACCTTACACCATCCCCACCTTCCGTTTAGAAAATGTATTATTTTATTGCAAGTCTTTTTCTGTTGCATTATATCCGTGCTATTGTGAGGTAAAAAATGACCACGTCACTGCTCTGTGAGTTTGATGTGGCTGGGTGATTCGTGGGACCACCCTAGACAAACAGCTAACCCCCTACAGGTGAGGTGCCTTCTCTGAACCACAGAGGTTCTCTCTTGGGTCTCACCTCTGTCTCCCAAGAGCTGCGTGAACAGACAAAGCCCCAAACTGGTATTCCCACAGCCTCCTGTCCACCTTGGGCCATTTGGTCTCCGCACTCCAGCCACCTCTGTGTCTTGGACCTTCTATCTTGACAAAACAATTGACAGGTGTCCTCAACACCAAACCTTATCCGATCTGGTCCCAGTCTATCAGCAGTTTATCAGGGAAGGAATTCCAAAATAATTCTTATAAACAAAAAACACCAACTACCTTCTTACACAAAAGACAAACACAAACCATCATGTTAGGGTTGGAAACAGGGAAGGTCAAACATGGCAAAGGGGATACTGTCTGTAGGTATCTGCAGAGTTGAGGACTGTGTCTCACCTGGAAGGCAGGGACTGCATTGAAAGGGATCTATATCAGGCTAGTGTCACTTAGGATTACTTCATGTGGCCATTCTGATTCCTCGTTGCACTGAAATTTGTTCACGCAAAAAAGAAAAAAAAAACTGTTCAAAATAACTAGGCTACTGGAGGTTTGAGATGCCTTTTGTCCAACGCAGACACCGTTTCATTTACTGTGCTGGGAACTACCTGTAGGGCCTGTGCTCATGGCAGGGAGGAAGCTTTGGCAAGGACCACCATGGTTTTCCCAGGATTCTGGTGTTCAGGGATCACTTGAAGTTTTGAAAACACACATTATTTTTTCTGAGGTCAAAATCGGTGATGTCAAAACCCTCTGAGGTGGGCTCCACTGCTGTTTTCAAAAGATGAGAAAGGAGAAATCCTGTCTTCAAAAAGGTCCCCAGTCTAATCTGGTAAACCAATGATGCTGGCAGACGCTTCTGAGAGTCAGAATGGTTGGTAGGAGCAGCTCCCCCTCACACGGAACCTTTTGATGTTCACCCGACCCCACCAACCCTGCATGGAATGCACCAGCATAAGCCACCACGAAACCCGAACAAGGCGTGATTGGGCTTGGAGACCAGAACACTGGGCCAAGAAGCTACAGAGCCAGCTGTGGGACTCATCATGCATGCGTTACCGAATACGCCGTGTCTTAGCTCAGCCCTCTGTGGAAGAGACTCATGCTTTCACCCTGGCCACTAACCTCAAATCACTTTCAGAATAGTGTGGTTCTGCCCCGTGTTGATGTTAACTTAAGTTCATCTCCTGAGAATTACATGAAACAATGGTTCTATGGGCCACAAATGATCATTATTTCCAAGTTTACAACAAACTTTGCCTCACAGAATCCACATTAGTGACATCTCTCTAAAATATAAGAAAATGTGGTGAACCTCTCCCCTCTGCCCCAGGCATGCTTTCCACCATGTAAGTAAATACACGCTCTGAGTCAAAATCAAATAAGGCACAAGATACAAAACAAATTGGCAGTCTCACTTCTTTGTTCAGTGCACCTTAGTTTTATGAAAAATCAGGCTGCTGCATCCATGCGATTGTGTGTTGACTTGCACTTCTTTTGGGTAAGGTTGTCAGAAGCAGACGAAAGACCGGGAAGAGCAAGGTTTTTGAGCAAAACTGAGCGGAGACATTCTGAGACCACACACCACACCCAGCACAAGATGCTCCATGGTGTCGAGTGGCATTAGGAAGAAAAGAAAGGCTTTAACCTTGGCACCTTGTACACTGAGCAAAGAACACGAAGAAGGGAAGACCCAAAGATGGGGAAGGATAGATACATTCAGGGGAAAAATCAGGTAACTAGAAGGGCAGCCAAATCTCTAGGCTGGGAACTTGCTGCCCCAGCTTTAAAGCCTGTTTCCCCAGAGCCAGAGGGGAGCCCCAGACTCACCCCTCACTCCTCAGCTGGAGCTTTTGCTTAAAGAACAAGATTTTCTTTAAAACAATGCCTCCACGCCAAAAGGGGCAGCTGGGAAATTAGAAGCCCCACATGCTATGCGTTTACTTTTTTAGAGCATGCTCTATCTTGCACACTTTTCCCTTTTACCAGCCAAGACTAACCTACAAAGCACCTTATATTTTTTCAAGAGAAAAACAATGTTTTTAGGAAATCGACTAGGCACAAATTATATCAAAAGCATTATTTGAGGGGCTATAATTTTTGCCTAGATTTTTTATTTTTAGAAAATGTTTTAATGTTTTATATTTCAGACTTATGGCTTTTCACTTAGGGTGAAAAATTTTTGTTCATCCTTCATTCGGCTTTCTCAAATATTAACACCCATAACCATAGCACCATGATCAAAGTCATCAAGTTAACGATGATAACACTATTAACTAACCTGTAGACTTCATTCAACTGTCTCTCTCCCCCACCTCCCTCTCTCTCCCTTTCTCTGTCTGCCTCTTCGTCTCTCTCGGTCTTTCTCCCTATCTCTTCCTCTCCCCCTCCCTGCCATCTTTCCCTGTCTTCTCTCCCCCTCTCTCCCTCCCCCTCGCTCTTTCTCTCCCTTCTCGCTCTGTCTCTCCCGGTCCCCACTCCCTCTCTCTCTCTTCTCTCAGCGTTGGTTTTACATCCCCCTGTTGCAGACCTTCTTCCTCAAGAAAGTGAAGGGAGCATGGGAGGGGCTGGATCGATTCTCTTCACTGGTTCTGACTTCAAAAGCTCTCACGGAAGGAACCTGATGCGCGGATGAGCCATGAGCCCAGACAGGGTCAATCGGCTACCGACAAAGAACAGAGTACTGGGCCCTGGGACCCCTGCACGTCAGGAAAGGGCTTGCTATGGGCCAGAAAACCAGCAAACCTTGACTTCGCAGCTTCAGCTGTCACTGTCAGCACAGCCTCTCTTTGGGCTCCACACTGACGGGCCCCAAACAGACCTCCTGACTCCTCCCATCTCCATATCTACTTATCAGTAAGTCAGGCCAGCTCTACCCCTAAAATCCACCCAGGCCCCAGTCACCTCTCTCCATATCCACACGAGCCCACCACCTAGTCTAGGCCACAGCCTCGCCTCGACTGAGGCAGGGACCGCCTTTGCGGCCTCTCCGGGTTCACTCTCCAGCCGCTGCATCCATTCCCAGATACAGCTGCCAGAGTGACTTCTGAAGCAAAGCATCTCATCAAAGGGCTTTGCTCTGTGCTGACCGGAAAGTGCAGCTCCTCCCTGAGGATGACAGACCCCCTGGCGATCAGGACCCTGGCCACTCCTTAAACTTCAGCTCATCCACTCCCAGCACCCCACAAGACCCTCACTCGCCTGCCTGCTCCCAACACCCCACAAGACCCTCACTCGCCTGCCTGCTCCCACAAGACCCTCACTCGCCTGCCTGCTCCCAGCACCCCACAAGACCCTCACTCGCCTGCCTGCTCACCCACTAAGTCCCGTGGAGCTCCTGCTGTTCTTTGCCCTTCTGGCTCCCCTGCCAGGCCCCTCCTGGGTCCTCCTCACTCCTACCCCCGACTCCACGTGCAGCCTGAGTCACTGTTTCCACAGCCCCCTCTGCAGGTATTCACGTTGTTGTCTCTAATGGGGGTTACCTTGCTCAGTTAATTGTTTGAATGTTTTCAGTCTTACCATGACTTTAAGATTTGCAATGAAAAAATACAGGAAGAAAGAAAAAGGCAATAGCTAAGGAAGAGAAAGTGAGCTAGGGAGGCTCCAGGTAGGGACTTTATTTCAGAGTTGATTTTAGACATTTAGAATATCTATGTAACAGTATTTGAAATTCTTTCCCACATTTAAAATAAATTTGAATTAATTAGAAGAAAAATTGGTTCCGTAAGGAAGCACTTCTGCTGGAAATAGCTCTACAGTTTGTAATCCTCATTTGTATTGAACAATAGAATGAGTTAACTCTTTTATATTAAATAGTGTTGTTCAGAAAGGAAAAATCAATTGAACAGAGCTTTAATAACTTGATTTGCAAATTTGGGAAGAGGAGTGAGTTAGTGGTGTCATGTCTCACAAGGAGGAATTTTATTTATTTTATTTTATTTTTTGAAACAGAGTCTCACTCTGTCCCCCAGGCTGGGGTGCAGTGGCGTGATCTCGGCTCACTGTAACCTCTGCCTCCTGGGTTCAAGCAATTCTCCTCCTTCAGCCTCCCAAGTAGCTGGGATTACAGGTGTTCGCCACCATGCCCCTCTAATTTTAGTATTTTTAATAGAGACGAGGTTTTGCCATGTTGGCCAGGCTGGAGGAATTTTATTTTAAAAGGTCATTTTAGAAAATAATAAAAGAAACAATATTAAAAACTCTGTGTTAGGAACTTCTGTCCTACAAGATACTCATTTTAAATCTAAAAATGTTCTTGATGACTAATATCTAACCTACAAAATATTTTCTCACCTCCACAACTTTCATTCCTCTGTCTGTTTTTTACACACACACACACACACACACACACCCCAGGCACTCCCTGATAAGGACATAACTGGCCTCTGTTTAGAGACGTGTGATTCAGCCAAACGCCCAGGTCTCAATCAGTAAGGAGCTAGCAGGCCCTGGGAACCACACTGAACTCAGGTTTCCTTGCTTGCAGAAGTTATTCAGTGCTTTTCCCCTTCCAGGAAACAGAAGGAACAAATGATTTTTCCAATCTGGGGATGCGTGAACATATTTTGTGCAAAAGCGGCCGTATAAGATGGCGATTTTCTCTTCTACGAGGTAAAAGCAATTCACATACACACAAACCTGATTCTGAGATGCATCATCCTCTGAGCGTGAATTCCTGTGGTTTTCGGAGTTGGTCCTGGAGAAGGGCTGGGTTGATCTGTCTCCTCAGAGCAGACTGCACACCCTTCCCAGAGAAAAACATGCAGGGCCTAAAATATGGAAAATGTTAAGGTTACAGTCCACCGGACAGCAAGAGTTCACCTGTTCCCGGGTATTTGCAAGATTCTCTTAAATGAAGGATTTGGATGTTGGAGTTCCTTCTCTCGCATCTTCCTTCCTTTGTGAAACAAGTGCCAGACCCACTCTGGGAAACCAGCTCCCTGGAGAATGACTGACTCAAGGGCTGGGGCAGGAAAAGTACAGCATCAGCCCCAAAGTAAGGAACTGCTCAAAACGTGATGGGGACAAAAGGACACAAGGACTAGTTTGAAGGAGCTGCCACTGGGCACACATGGGACAAATTGAGCATGAAAGTGACTCATGAAGGTGGTGGGTGGCAACTCATTGGACAAACAAACAAACCTGCGACTACATGATGATGGCAAAAAACAAGCAAATGAAGGGGTAGGATGCATGAGAAAGCCTTCTCTTGTGGAAGGCCAACCGATAGAGGAATTAGAAAATGACGACTTTGAAACCACCATAATAATCACTGGCCCAGGCTAAGATCGTCGCTGAATATAAACATCATTTGGTGGAATTGTGGGGTAATACTTACAGTTGCCTAGTGCCTGCTCATAAATTCCTTCCTATCCAAGGATAGAAGGTGTCTTTCCGGAAAATAACTGGATGACATCACCATAACCAAGTAACCCCCACACTGAGACGTCAACATCACCGTAACCAAGTAACCCCCACACTGAGACGTCAGCAAAACCAAAGACCCCAAGCACTTCAGAAACAAACTTTCAGCCTCATGGAACAAAGAAAGGCAAGGATTACTCCTGATGAAGGAAGTCTAAGGGGACATGACACCTAAAGGCGATGCACCACCCTAGACTGGATTTTGGTGTTGAGGGAAAAAGTTGCTTGTAAGACAATTTTGTTACCATCAACAAAATTTAAATATTCACCACATATTAGATAAGAGTATTGTGTCAATGTTAAGTTTTCTAAATTTGATAATTGCACTGTAATTGTGTAGAATACAGAGATGGAGAGAGTTGGCATGGCTAAGTATCGATGGTGGGAGAAGAGAGGGGAAGAGCATATCATCATTAACTTGTAATATTCTTGCAACTTTGCTCTAGGTTCTGAATGTTTTCAAAATAAAAGGTTTAATTAAAAATCTTGAGAGATGTAGAATGAAGAATAATTTCCTTCTAAAACTACGACTATTTCACAGTCATATGTGCTTTTTGTAACAATACTTGAAACGTGATTCAAAAAATGAAAGGCGTCTGTTCTTTCACCACACATACTTAACATTGCAAACATTTAGAATGAATTTAGAAACAAATATATTTATTGGGGCTCCCTTGAGGGCAGGAGTTCAAGGCCAGTCTGGGCAACACAGTAAGACACTGTCGCTACTAAAAAATAAATTTAAAAAAATTAGCCAGGCATGGTAGCATGCTTGTAGTCCCAGCTACTCAGGAAGCTGAGGCAGGAGGATCACTTGAGCCCAGGAGCTTGAGGCTGCAGTGAGGTGTGACTGTGCCACTGCACTCCAGCCTGGGAGACAGAGCAGCACTCTCCGGAGGGGAATGTTGTGCCACGTATGTGCCAGGTACCTGTTCACGGGAGGGTTTCAACCCCTCAGCCCTCCTCCTGTCTGACTCTTGTGTGATCTTCTGAGCACTCTTTCTTGCACATCAGGTGTAAATAACCAGTATGCCTACTCCCAGCTCATTCTTGAGTGTTTTCTGGGAAGCAGAGAAGCAAAGTCAGGTTTGTTTTACAAGCACAGGCCCAGCGTGGCTGTGGTGCTGTTCATCGTTCTCACAGGATAGTGGGAAGTTTTCAACTCAACTGGTGAAGTGAACTCTAGGAATGGTCCTCAGCCATTCATGGCTGCCTGTTTGAAGTCGGTGAATCAAGGCCAAGTGAGATGGGGCGCAGCCTGAAAGGCTCCCCCGGCCGTGCGGTGGCCCCTCGCAGCAGGGTTCAGGGTCCCCATGTGCATGGCCTGCTCCTCAAAAAGCAATGGAATGCTCTGTTAGGGCCATCGTTCAAGCTTGAGGCCCCAAGGTTATGCTTCCCTGACTAGAAGAGACGAAAACCTTGCCCTGACAGATGTAGGCATGAAACTGTTAATTATCGTCCGTTGTTTACTTGGTGCCAGGGAGACACAGGTCAGTTTTATCTACGCTATCTAACAAAGGGAGCAACAGATGGATGTAAGAACAAAGCCAGAGGGAAGACAGCCATGCAGGCAGTTTGCCCACTCGGGATCAGCTTCTTTGCTGTCAGCCGCCAAGGAGATCCACGAGGAGCAGCTCAGCCGGGACACCAGTGGAAGTGCCTCCAGGTGTTCATGGACTTTGCAGAAACCTTGCAATGAGCTTTGGCACACACGTGTCAAGCCGTCTCTGTATCGGCCGGTGTCTGGTCAGCAACTGCCCTTCAGTGAGGCCGTCTCTGCCCATTTCCCCCATCGTGATTTCCAACTGTGAGCCTGGGGCTAAGTGGCGAGACTCCATCCCAGGGACAGGGACAGTGCCATCGCTGTTCTTCCCAGGAGGGTAAGGTCTATGCTCAGGAGTGAGTCACACCAGGAGATGTGACTCTAATATCATCTGCCCCATCCTGAACTGTCAGTGCTAGACCAAAGTGCTACACATTTGCTGTAAGGCCAGGCTGCCTGAAGTCAGAGTGCTGTCTGGGCTCAGGGCTGGGGAGAAGGGTTTCCTCAATCCCGAGCGGGCAGAACGTAGGCTCACACTGAGGAGAGAACACTGTAGTAGAGACCAGGATGCCAACACTTGGAGCTGGGCAACACAGGGCAGTTGAAGCCTTGGCCACCAGAAGAGACTGCCAGGACGCAGAACTTCCTTACGGCAACAGCACCAGGAGTTGAAGGTTTCTCGCCCACCGAGGAAGGCTCAGGAGCTGCCAGTGTACTGAGGAGGAGAAGGAATTGGGAGGCCAGACTATCTTCTGCTCCCCCAGGTAGGGACCCGGTTAATGGAAATGCTTCTAGCATGCATTAAATACCCTTAAATACCCTTCAGGTCCAGAAGAGCCTTCTGGAGTCAGGGTTGTCAGCTGATTTGACCTGAGTCAACGGCTCCATTATTCTAGAAGGCGGATTACTCACTTAAGGATTGTGGGCTATTAGGTAACACCATGTTAAGTAAGTCCTGCTACTTTTGGACAAGGAAATATGCTCATACTGTAGCCACATCAATCTGAGTTACAAATGTGCTAGATTTGTCAGCCTGGCCACAAACCATCTCAGAAACACAAAACCTTAGAATTGGAAAGGATCCTAAGGATTATTTAATCCAAGTGCGTGTTCTACAGATAAGGTGGCCGAGGCCAAGAGAAGCACAGGAGTGTCGTTCCCAAGTGACTCGTTGGATTGAAAAGCTGAAACCAAAGCTAGATTCCAGGTCTTCTGATTTGCAGGTGAACCATCTATCAGCATCTCGTGGTTACTTCCCTGTTTACTGCTAAATAATTGTCTCTCAATAAGTGAGTGTATGTGTGACATTCATGCATTTTAGCTTCTTTATAATTATTGTGGCATGTATATACTATATATATATACACACACACACACAAATGCACAAACACACACGCAGCATAAAATTTACCAGTTTAACAATTTTAAGTGCACAGTTCAGTGGCTTTAAGTACATTTGCATGTAGTACAGCCATCACCACCATCCATCTCTGGACTTCATCTTTCAAAACTGAAACTCCGTCCCCATCAAACACTCACTCCCCATTCCTCCATCCCAGCTCCTGGCAACCCCTGCTTGACTTTCTGTCTCTAGTTCAACTGCTGTAGGAACCTCAGACAAGTAGAATCACACAGTATTTGTCCTTTTGTGACTTGCCTATTTCACTCAGCATAATGTCCTAAATGTTCATCCACGTTGTAGCATGTGTCAGAATTTCCTTCCTTTTTAAGACCAAATCACATTCCATTGTGGGAATACACACATTTTGTTATCTGTTCATCTGTCTGTATGCATTTGGGCTGTTTCCACCTTTGGCTATTGTGAATCATGCTGCTATGAACACAGGTGTACAGATACCTGTTAAGAGTCCCTGCTTTCAATTATTTATTTATTTATTTATTTATTATTTCAATAAACAACCCAAAATGACATAGCGGGATCATATGGCAATTCTATTTTTAATTTTTTGAGGAACCCCACTACTGTTTGGCAGAGCACCTGCACCAGTTTACATTCCCACTAACACTGCACAGGGGTTCCTGTTTCTCCACATCCCGACCAGCATTTGTTACTTTCTGTTTTCTGTGTTTGTTTTGTGATATTTGCCATCCTCATGGCTGTATGTCTCACTGTGGTACTGATTTGCATATCCCTAATGATCAGTGATGGGGAGCGCCTGTTCATGGGTTTCTCCCTGTTTGAAATCCGTTCTTCCTGTGGCCACCTTTTCTCTGTCTGCACAGGCAGCCATGTGTCTATAGCAGGGCTCCATGAAATCCATGGCTTTGGGGCATCCATCTGCCTGTGAACATTCAGACAGGGAGTGTGAAGTTGAAAACCAAAGTTGAAATCAGTTCCCTGTGGCAGAGAGGCGAGAGGTGTGCTGGGGAGGGTTTAAAGCCAGGGAGGCTGGTTTTGACGAGCATGGGCTAATTGCTGAATTGTGGTTGCTGTCGCTCTCTCTGGGCTGACACCCAGCCAGGGCAGGTCCTCACACTCACTGAGTCACTGGGAACTGATGGCTTCTCTCACAGCCGGTCTGAAGAGACCAGCGAATCCTCCCCAACACATCAAATTATGCACTTTCTAAAAGTACGGTGGAAACACAAGGAGTTTTAAAGCAGAAGGCACCTATTAGCCTTAGGCTCCCTCCAGCATCCTTGTGTCACTCATGCATGTGTCACAGGTGACAGAATCACTCCCAAAGACACAGGCTGAGGTTAAGCGCCTCTTCCTGGGAGTCAGGACCCATGCTGTCTGGCTCTAATCCCTCTTCCTATTTTCACACACATCTGTTTCAC